TAGGGGCGATTCGAAAACAAAATTCAAGTAATAAGAAAGAGGTTAAGAAAGAGACTGCGAGAGAAATAGAATAAGAATAATAGGGGAAGAAATCAAAATGAGAGAGAAGAGAAGAATCACAGAGGGAGAAATCAGATTTTTTTTTTTGATAAGTAAGAAATAAAAAAAAAGGCGTTCAATAGGGGAATGCGTCCCTTATATAATAGTGGAACCGGGGGCTAATGCCCCAAAGAATCAAAGAAAATAATTAAATCATCGGAAGAGAAGCAAGAACTACTCTTCACATGATTGAAGAGAGAACGAATAATATAAAGTTTCAGCGTCGCTGTAGATAACTCCTTCCCTTCGAACATTCTACTATATCTCCCCTTCCAGATGCACCATCATACACAATGTGGGACAATTCTCCAGTAATCGCGTACACCCCTTCTCACTCGACATCCTTTCCAAGCATGAATCAAATCCTTAGAAGTAGGGGTGTACAAAAGAACCGGAACCGTGGAACCGGAACCGGAACCGTTTTTCCCGGTTCTCACGGTTTCGGTTCCGGTTCCGGTTCCAGCCCATGGGAACCAGTAAGAACCGGAACCGTATATATATATATATGTATATACACCTATTTTTTTAGTTTTTTGCCCTAAATTTGAGCCTCAGCCTCCCTAATCGCCTCCAATCTCCATCTCTATTCTCTCGACTCTGAACTTGCCCTCTCTCTCTGTGCAACTGTAAGTCTGTAAATTACAAAATCTACAAGAATCAGAAGTTCAAAACCCATATATTTCAGATCTGTCTGCAAGAATCAAAAGTTCAAAACCCATATCCGCATATCATTTCAAATTGTTCAAAAAATCAAAACCCATATCTTTCAGTGTATAGGAAATCTATCAAGCATTTGAAGAGTTGCAACATAAAAATTCTAGTGGTTTGAGAGATGATACTGATAGATCAGCTCTTGGGTGTGAGGCTCCTTCAGTTGATGGGGTGGAAGATTATGCAGCAGAGATTGAGTTAAAAGCTGGGATCAGTACAGATGTACCAAAAGAAAAAACAGAGACTAGAGGGCTGAGTGATCATGGGTTTGGGTTGGAGCAGCATGGAGAAGGTGAGATGGAATGTCGTGATATAAAGCCTAATATATCATGTAATGCTAATGACAGTTCTTCTCCAGTGATATCTTCCAAGTAATTTTGCTCTCTAAGGCTTTACCTTTTCATGAGGTGCAATTGTGCCGCGTAATAGAAGAAGTTTTTTCCCAAAACTTCGTACTGGCATCATAAAAAATGACATGATTTGTGGGTTTTTTTTTTCAATTGCTTCAAATATTAATCATTTTTAACGAACAAAAATTTCGTTTTTGAAATTTTAATAAAAATGAGTGGCATCGGTGATTCTTGTTTGGTTTGCTAAATTTCCTTTTTTCTGGTATCTCTTGTTGTTGGGAAATTCTAAATAATTTGTTTGCCTTCTCCTTGTTGCTATGCCATCAACTATAACGGTTCTCATGGAACTGAACCGGTTCTATAGTTCGGTTCCGGTTCCCTTTTTTTGGAACAGTTGTGAACGGTTCCAGTTCCGGTTCCGACCGGAACCGTAAGGCACCGAACCATGTGCACCCTTACTTAAAAGAACGTGACATTACCCAACGCATGCCAAACAACTTAAGAATAAGATTCCAACAGTCGCGCGCCAAGGGCAATGCATAAGGATATGATCAACTCACTCACCATCTTGCTTGCATAGGCAACACCAATTAACAAAGCAATTTCCCCTCTTCCTCAAATTATCAATTTTCAGTATCGTACCCCATGCAGTGGTTCATATAAAGAATGCCACCCTAGTTGAAGCCATATAACGCCATATGGTCTTCCACGGAAAATACAGGCTTTCAAAATTAGACAGACATAAGAACAAAGATCTTACATCAAAACGACCGTGGGAAGATGGAATCCATGTCAGGTTGTTACAATCTCCGCCAACTCCCTCCTGCCGATACAATTGATCCAGAAAGACACATACCTCGTCCAACTCCCAATCCTGAAATGAATGCCGAAAATGCACATCCCACGTAATCCCACTACTATCAAACCGATAACAGTCAACTACGTAGGCGTGTCTGTCAGCTGCAATACTGTATAATCTGGGAAATGTACGAGATAATGGCTGATCACCACACCAGAGATCTTCCCAAAAACGAAAGCATCTGCCATCGCGGACTTTGAATCTGATATGAGAGGAAAAGACATCCCATCCCTTCCGAATGGATTTCCACACCCCGACTCCTCCCACAAGAGAAACTGGTCTGGTAGACCAGTCGCCAATCTCTTCCCCATACCGACATGAGACTAACTTTCGCCAAGGACAATGTCTTTCCCTCCCATATCTCCACAACCATTTACCCAGGAGAGCTTGATTAAAAGGAACCAATCTTCTATTACCAAGACCACCCAACTTCATGGGCTTGCAAACTTGCTCCCATCTGACGAGGTGATACTTAAATTCTTCTCCCCTTCCGCCCCAAAGGAAATCCCTTTGAATTTTTTCAATCTTATCAGCAATGAAAACGGAATTTGGAACATAGATAGGAAATATGTGGGGAGTGCTCTTAATAAGAGTAACTTTACCTCCCTTAGACAAGTATTGCTTCTTCCATCTTGCCAATCTCTTCGCATACCTGTCAATCATAGAATCCCAACTCTCCACTCTCCTGGAAGAGACCCCTAAGGGCAAACCCAAATAAGGAATGGGAAAAGAACTCACCCTACACCCAAGGACTGCAGCTAAAGAAGAAATATCCTGAACATTCCCTACTGGGACAAGCACACTCTTAGTCACATTTACCTTTAGCCCGGAAACCGCCTGAAAATAAGCCAGGATGCACCTCAAATATCTAAGTTGAGACACATCAGCATCACAGAAAACGAGGTTATCGTCTGCAAAAAGTAAATGAGAGATCTCCACTTGATGGACTAAATCTCTTCCCACCCTGAAGCCCTTAATAAGACCAAGATCCTCTGCCCTGCACATAAGTCTGCTTAAGCCCTCCATAACAATTAAAAAAAAAAGGAAAGACGACAAAGGATCACCTTGTCTTATACCCCGAGTACACCCAAAAAAACTAACGGGAGATCCATTCACAAAAACTGAGAACTTGATAGACGAAAGACATGTCTCAATCCATTTCCTCCATCTTCTTCCAAACCCTATTTGTGTGTAACAAAAAAAGTAGGAAATTCCAGTTCACATGATCATACGCTTTCTCAATATCAAGTTTGCATAGAACTCCAGGAACACCACTTCGCAATTTGGAATCCACACATTCGCCTGCAATAAGAACTGAATCAAGAATTTGCCTTGCTCCAACAAAAGCATTCTGGGAATCCGAGATAATCCTATCCATTACTTCCCTCATCCTTATAGAGCAAGCACCTTAGCTATGAGTTGTAAATACAACCCACTAAGCTGATTAGGGATGGCAATGGGGCGGGGTGGGGATCTCATTCCGCATCCCCATCCCCATCCCCGCTGAATTTTTCAATCCCCATCCCTGCTTAAAATTTTACCACCACCCCCATACCCGCCCCTGCCCCCGACCCTTTATTCCCGTCCCGATTAAAGGTTAAATTACTAATATACCCTTATATTTAATAATTTATTACTAAATCAGATTTAGTATATATATGAAAATAATTAGTAATTTAACCCTTAATCGGGGCGGGGCGGGTTTACCCCATCCCCGGCGCTGGCAGGTTTTCAAAACTTACCCCCATCCCCATCCCCGTTTACATAAAAGGGTCCCCATCCCCGCTATAAACGGAGCTGGGCAGGGCGAGGACCCGGCGGGGATGGGGAATTTGCCATCTCTAAAGCTGATTGGATGAAAATCCTTAATGTCAGAAGCGCCTCCCTTCTTAGGAATAAGGGCAATGAATGAGGCATTTAGCGACTTCTCAAAGATGCCAGTAGAATGAAACTCCTGAAATGTACCTATCACCTCATTTCTCACTACTTCCCAACTTTCCATCAAAAAACACATAGTAAACCCGTCAGGTCCTGGAGCTTTGTCCCCATTACAACTTGACAAAGCCTTTAGAACTTCATCTTCGGTAAAAGGCATCTCAAGCCCATCTCTATCCAACCCTGAAATAGCCTCAAACTAGAGACCGTCAAGTTTGGGTCTCCAATCAAATGGCTCGGTGTAAAGCTTTTGATAACAAAGAAACGATCCCATTACGCACCTCTTCCTCCCTCCACAACTCCACACCTTCCACCCGAATTCGTCCTATGTGATTACTCCTTCTGTGAGCATTAGCTAGTCTGTGAAAAAAAATTGTGTTACGTTCTCCCTCTTTTAACCAAAGAGCTTGGGATTTTTGTCGCCACGAAATCTCAGAGGGAGAAATCAAAATTGAGGGAGAAGAAACCCAATAAATTCTGAATAATAATCAATAATCAATCATCAAAGCTAACTTTCACAATGTCTGAACTAACATATAAATAGACATCAAAGAAAGACCCTAATCAACCTATTACCATAAATAAAACCCTAAATTACTGAAATATCCCATAATAATAATAAATAAACAAAAATTCTAATTCTATCTTTCTTTCCCACGTCTCCAATAGTACGTGTGGGCCATGTGGTCTTCAACCTCTCGGGCAGGCCCGGTTCTCCATCACTATATGTCATATTAATATTAGAAAAGGAAGTTGACATATATAATTAATGTATTTAATAGGTGACACACCCATGAGAAATGAGGTGGGATGGGAATGGAATAAATAGAGGGCCAAGACGTAGAGCAATATTATTTGTGCACAAATTTCCACTCCTTCTTGATTCCTTCTCTGTGCATAGAAGTTGATCATAATCAAGTTCAATATAAAGAATTCAAAGCATGTCATTTATTTAGTGATGCTTTTTTTTTTTTTTTGATAAGTAAACATTTATTTAGTAATGCTATTAAGCATTATTTGCCTTATTTCATATTATTTATGATCAGGCTTGTGTCAGTTGGGAACTTAGAAGCTGCCGTTAGTTTACTGCTTTCAACTCCTCCAGAGAGCTCCTTCTTCTATGCAAATGCTCTCCGTGCAGTTGCTCTTTCATCTGCCGTATCAAGGTCTTTGCATGAACTGGCTGTTAAGGTAAAATATAGTTTTTGAACTGCTTCTGTTTCAACTTCAAAACATAATTGTGCTTAGAATCTGAATAGTTTGTCTCATTTTTTGTTGATTGTTGGTTATCTTCTATGATCATCTAGGTTGTTGCAGCCAATATGGTCAGGACAGACAGATTCTTTTCAGGCACACACCTTCTCTGTGCTGTTGGGAGGTATCAAGAAGCTTGCTCTCAGGTCAAGTTCTATCTCTTGAAGCATACCTTTGTAATCCATTATTTTATTTATGTATTTATTTATTTATTTATTTTTGATAATCTATTATCAAAGTGCTGCCAGTGATCAGTTTCATATAATTTAGGAATTTTCTTTTCTATCAGTGATTCCTGTACCATCTTCTCTGGTTGCCTAAATGAGGCAACTTTTGGTGCTTAAAGGTTGCCTTTAGCACTTAAATTGTGCCTTCTTTGATGTGGACGTACAATTAAAGAGGTATTACTTTTTAGAAAAAAAAACATTCATAGAACATTTACAGCATTTCAAGGACCTCTTCTCCATTCCATTGGCCTTTTGATATATGGGTTGCCATTTTTGCATTAAAGGATAACGCATGTATCAGAGCTTAGTACTGAACACAGTCTTGGATTTGCTATCAGCTGTTTAATCACCAAGAGGGAGTTGATAGAATCAACTTATCTTTAAATAAGCTTTCTACCTTAGCTTTTAAGGAACAGTTCTACTTTTGGAAGCCATTGTTAACAACACACGATCTCCCCTGATATGGAGAGAGAATGCAAACCAAGTCCTCCAAGCATTGATTATGGAAGATATGAAAGAGAAAGAGTAGCTAAGGAATTAAAGTGCAGGAAATTAAGATAATTGAAAGTGCAAGACAGGTAATTAAAGATAGTATGATCATTTCACCAATTCTTATGTATGTATGGAGTTTTTAGATGAAAGGAGTGACTTCTAGGAAAATTGCAGGGGTTAAATAATTAGAAAAGGTATCCTTTGAGAGTTAAGAAAATTTTGATGCGTCTTAATTTGTAGAGAATTTGTGTTTAAAACGTGCTGAGTGGCAAGAAGTTATGGTAAGTTAAAGTGGGTCTCTGACTGGATCATGGCAGTGTAGTCTCTATGGTGCTGAAGTCATTGTCCATGAAAACAACGGTTGAAATGCTGGCATGGCTCCAGTAGGGAGGGTCGGGGCTAATTGATTGATTCTTATTGATGAAAATAAAAAGGATGGGTAGAGTAGTTGCTGATGATTCATGTGTAAGAACATGGCAGAAGGGGAACATTACGTGCATGGTAGATGGAGGTTGATAGAGGCTTCAACTAGGTTATATGGAGTATTAAGTTGAGGCTTTCTATGGCCTTGGATATACAGTTTTTTTTTTCTCTTTTTTTTTTCAGAACCTTGGATACATAGTTTTTATTAAGTCGCTTTTTCACCAAATGTGAAACAGGAGATTTTGGTATGCTGATTTCTATCTCATCTTCTGTCGCAGCTCCAAGATGCTGGCTGCTGGACAGATGCTGCAACCTTAGCTGCAACACACTTAAAGGGTTCTGATTATGCAAGGTTTATTTCTTCTCGTAATCATGGAATGTCTTCGACCTTGAGATTTTCATCTTGCATGTATACTATGCAGTTTTTTTTTTTTTTTATCCTTTTCAAAATTTGGTTTGTTGTCTGTCTCTGTGATAGTTTAAGTACTCACATTGGTTCAATATCCCAGGCACATTTTTTACATGCACAGCAGGACCACAGACACTAATTTTAGACTAAATTGTCTCAGATTTTATATATGTCTGCGCTTAAATATTCAGTTTTCTAATTTCTCATCTTTGTCCTATCTTATTGCACTAATTTTAGTCACTGATTAATTGTTCTTTTACTCTTTCCTTTTTACTGTTATTTGATGCTTCAATTTAGACAATCTTTTTTCCCATAACTGAGCTGAGTATAATCCTATGAGACTTGGTTAAACAATTGTTAGTAATCTTATTTCAAGTTTGCAAATTCGAATAAAAGTTTGATTTTTTTTTTCTAATACCGTTTCACCGTTTTATGGGGTCAAATAATAATTTGCCCATTATCTACACCTATTATGCATCTTTAAATGTCAAATAAAATTAGTTTGACTTGCATCACCTTTCCTCTTCTCTTCAAGTAATAAGAAGAACAACAACTACTACAAGCAACAACAATGATTATGATGATAACGATAATAACAAGTAACATTTAAAAAAACAGTTGATGATCAGCTTTTCCTGAACCTGGAAAAGCACCAATAAGTTTTGACTCCGTCATTCTGAGCAAAGTCTGGGAAAGGAGTGGAAGACGACGCAAAAGTTTGCCATATAGAAGGGCTACCTGAAATCTGGACAGTACCCAACACCAAAACGTATTGTGGGTTAAGGAAATTATGTACATCCTTCCCAACTGGGGAAGACTCTTCCACATTTAGGTCCCTTCCTGATCACTTTCCCCAACCACACTCTAGTTTAATTCCATATTAAGAAGTTGTTTCCCAATAAAATAGTGGATAAAGATTTAGCATGGAGAAATACACTGTATAACTTGTCATGTTCCACATACGCACTCACAACAGTTACTCTGCCTGGACTAAGTTCGCATAGACATAGGCAATTCTTAACTTGGATAGACTTAATTCATATGCATTACTTTTTTCCTTGTGCCGTGGGTTCTGCTGCTAAGAAGTTTTTACTAGGGTTAAGTGCAAAAAACACCCCTACAACAGACCGTTGTGCACGATCACCCCCTACTTTTTAAAATGAGGTGTCAGCCCCTAATTTTGCAAAAAGGTGCATATACCTCTTTTCTGTGACATTTAACATAAAGTAAATGTAGTATTCTGGTTTCGCCCTTTTAACATTCCCAAAATGCCCATCTTGCAAATGTATTAAATACCACATTTTAAACCCTTTCTCACCTCTCTACCTCTCTTTGTGTCTCTCTCTCTCACTCACGGAAGCTTGCAGATAACATTCATGCTTGCTCCTTAATTTTTTTCTGACAAGTTTGCTCCTTCAAGGTTGCTCCTGTTTTTTTTTTCTTTTTTTCCTTAGAACAAGCTTGCTCCTTCAACCCCTTTCTCGCCAGATATGGCATCATCTTCGAGTTTTGAACCTTCAAAAAATATACGTAATCAACAACACACGCACACAAATCCCATTGAAAGCAGAAAAAAAAAAATGGCAATTCAAGAATCAAGATTCTTACTTGTCGTGTCAGAAGTAGTGTATGCCACTATTGGAGGATAGTTCCACATTGCATGTGGTGATGCATTTAGAAGGAGAGGAATAGCAGAATGTTCGAAGGGAATGAGTCGTCCATGGTGACGCTGAAACTTCATATTATTCGCTCTCTTTTTAGTTATGTGAAGAGGAGTTCTTGCTCCTCCTCCGATTATTTAATCATTTTTTTGGATTCTTTGGGGTAGATCCCGGTTCCACTCTTGTACATGGGACGCATTCCCCTTTTGAACTCCTTTTATTCAATTATTACTTGATCAAAAAAAAAGAATCAAGATTCTTACTTGGGCATGAACAATCTCCGGGTTGCCACCTGCAATTCTGGAACATTGAGTCCTTTCTTCCATTCCTCATGCAAGTCGCTTGAGCTGTGAGTCTATGAGAAACTCACATTCATTTTCTTGGTACAGTGGGTGAGTCATATTATCAAACACCCACTTCCCTATATAAAGATCACAGCTTTCCGGTGGCAATTCAATCTCTTCTTCGTCTTCATCATCGCCGTTGACGACTGGCAATTTGATCTTCTGCTCAGCCTCTTTCATTACACTTTATTTCAAACTCACACTTTCTTGGTTGTCTCTGCTAAAACCTCTACCTATGTCCACTACAGTTCTTTAATTCATCAAAACTTGGTTCTCATCGCCTCTTCTGTCAATTTCTTGAACACGGTTGTTGTATTGGAGGGTTCTTTTGGATTTCTTGAGCTTTAGGCCTCAACAAAAATGGAAACTCTGCAATGGACTCGGTGTCTTCATTGTACATGAAGCATCCGAAGAGGAATATAGAAAATATGACGAATTTCTTGAACAGGGTTGTTTTTGGAGGGTTCTTTTTAAATTTCATGAGCTTTAGGCCTCAAAAAAAAAGAAATGGAAACTCTGCAATGGACTTGACGTTTTTAATGTACATGAAGCATCCGAAGAGGAATATAGTGTTGACTTTAAGATATAATCAAATCAAGAGTAAGTAATAAAGAAGAAGAAGAAAAAGAGAAGAAAGCGGATGAGCGAAAAAGAGAGAGAGATGGGGAAAGAGAGAGAGAATGAACGAATACTTTCATCCTTCCACCACATTCTATTTATAATAACAAGTTTCAGAAATTACATATAAGCCCCAACTTTATATAAGTAATAATAAATAAGCCCCTAACAACACTCCCCCTCAAGTTGGTGCAAAGATATCTATCATGCCCAGCTTGACTAACATATTTTGCAATCAAGTCTTACCCACAGCCTTAGTCAAAACATTAGCAACTTGATCATGTGTATTGACGTATGGAGTACAAATCAACCCAAGACGAAGTTTTTCCTTGATGAAGTGTCAATCGACTTCAATGTGTTTTATCCTGTCATGTTGAACTGGATTGTGAGCAATGCTAATAGTAGCCTTGTTGTCACAATACAACTTAATTGACTCGCGAACAGGATAACCCAACTCACCCAACATCATACGTAGCCTTAACAACTCACAAACTCCATGTGCCATGGATTTGAACTCAGCCTTTGCACTAGATCTAGCTACTACAGACTGTTTCTTGCTTCGCCATGAAACAAGATTACCTCCAATAAATGTGCAATATCTTGAAGTAGATCGTTGATCTGTCACAGACCCTGTCCAATCAGCATCAGTATAGGCTTTGGCACACAAGTGGCCATGACTGCCAAACAATATCCCCTTACCTGGTGAACCCTTGAGGTAGCGAAGAACACAATGAGCTGCCTCAAGGTGAGGTGTACGTGGAGCATGCATAAACTAACTAATCACACTAACAACGTAGGCAATAGTCGGGTGCGTGAGAGATACGTAAATCAGTCTCCTAACCAATCGTTGAAATCTTCCCACATCATCTAATGGGTCTCCATCTACATCATTAAGCCTATGATTCTGCTCAATGGGAATATCAATAGGTTTAGCTCCAAGCCTACCTGTTCCAACCAACAAATGTAACACATACTTTCGTTAAGAAATGAACACCCCTTTCTTCGATCTGCACACCTTGATGCCAAGAAAGTATCTCAATGATCCGAGGTCTTTAACGTCGAACTCTGTCCCCAAGAATGACTTCATTCGACGAATCTCTTCTGGATCAATTCTAGTGATAACAATATCATCAACAAATACAATAAGGGCAGTGGTGCAACCCTAGTGCTTCTTAATGAAGAGAGTATGATCTGCCTGACTCTGTGTGTACCCTGCTCTTTCACAGCAGTGCTGAACCTCTCAAACCAAGCACGTGGCGACTGCTTTAACCCATACAAAGCTTTATTTAGCTTGCACACTAAATTATGACCATTGGCAAGCTTAAACCCTAGTGGCATAGTCATATACACCTCTTCCTCCAAGTTAACATGAAAGAAAGCATTTTTTACATCCAGCTGATGTAAGGGCCTATTCAAATTAGTTGCCAAAGAAAGAAGAACACGTATAAAGTTCATCTTGGCAACTAGAGCAAATGTTTCTAGATAATCAATTCCATAGGTCTGAGTGAAGCCCTTTGCAACTAACCGAGCTTTATATCTCTCAATTGTTCCATCTGCATGATACTTTATCGTGTAAACACGATTGCAGCCTACTAGTTTCTTACCCCTAGGTAATGGAACAATATCCCAAGTACCATTTTTCTCAAGGGCCTTCATTTCTTTATGCATAGCTTTCTTCCGTGGAGTTTGATTGAGAGCATCTGAAACACTAGAAGGAACAGATACAGAGGAGATACATGAAGTGAAAGCACGATATGTTGGAGATAAGGCATCATAGGATACAAACTGAGATGTGGGATGCTTTGTACAAGCTACGAACACCCTTACGATAGGCAATAGGGACATCAAGATCAACAGGAATGCTATTGGGAAAGGAATCAAGAGTATCAATGTCAACTAAGGAATTACCTGGATCGAGGGAGACTTTTTGGTACTGGGGTGAGTCAATAACTTGTTTTGCCCTCCTAATGTAGACAATTGGCTGCTTTTCCTGTTGCAAATCATTAGTGTTAAGAGGACTAGACATAGGCACCTCAGTAAGAAGCTCCCCCTGAATGGGAACAGGCAAAGGAAGGGGGCATTCCCTCTTAATAGACAACGGATTGTCTACTTGTATATTAGTCTCCCCCTGTAGGGAATCCCGAGCGGTAGAAAAAAAAGTAACAGACTCAAAGAATGTAACATCCATGGAGACAAAGCGACGACCAGTGGTAGGGTTATAACACCGATATCCTTTCTGAGTGGCGGCGTATCCAAGAAAGACACATCGGATTGCCTTAGGGTCCATTTTGTCCTTGTGATGATGAATGTGAACATAACAAACACAACCAAACACTTTCGGAGGGACAGTAAACAATGCAGTGTCATCGAATTACCTTAGGGTCCATTTATAAGGCATGCGATTTGATAAGGTATGTAGCTGTTAAGGTTGCATCAGCCCAATAACTTTTAGGCACTCCCATCCCAATTAGAAGAGAACGGGTCACCTCCGTAATAAGACTGTGTTTTCTTTCAGTTACACCATTCTATTGTTGTGTATCGACACAAGAGGTTTGATGGACAATCCCTTTATCAGCAAAAAAGGAGGCAAGACCACCATACATAAACTCTCCTCCATTATCAGATCAAGGGATTTTGAGGGGACAACCAAACTGAGTACATACCATCCTATAAAAGGTTTTAAAAATAGAATGAACTTCATCTTTGGTTTTCATAAGATAAAGCCAAGTATATCAACTAAAGTCATCAACAAACACAACAAAGTAACGAAAACCAAGTAACGAAGTAGTAGATTCAAGACCCCACACATCATAATGAACAAGCTGCAAAGGAGCTGTATTTTTATTAATACTAGTAGGATAAGAAAAACGACATTGTTTGTCAAGAACGCATGTTTCACAATTTAACTCAAAAGATTCAACAGAAGCAAACTGGGGAAACACATGATTCAAAACAAGAAGAGGTAAATGACCTAGTTTATTATGCCATCGCATTAACAGATCTTTATTGACATTACTATTCATAACACTAGATTGATTTGCAACATAATAAGAAGTTAGCCTCGCGTTCAGCAAATACAAGCCATTGTCCTCATGTCCACTTCCAATCGTCTTCCCCGTGTCCAAGTCCTGAAACACACAGTGAGATGGACACTACAATTCAAGCATTTTGTAATGTGACTGACAGAAAGGAGGTTATTAGTAAACTTTGGGACATGAAGAACAGAGGATAACGTAAGATTAGGAGAGGCAGAAACAGTGCCCTTCCCCGCAATGGAGGTGAAGGTGTCATCAGCCACTCTAACCTTATCCTTACCACAACATAAACTGTACGAAGAAAAATTAGATGTCATACCAGTCATGTGATCAGTGGCTCCTAAATAATCTAGGGTGGCCCACCAGATAATGTGGAAACCTGATGTGCCGAATGAGAGGTACCTGTCTGAGCGAAGTTAGTGGTGAAAACGGAGGAATGTTGTGCTAGTAGATGTCGGAGAGCATCAAGTTCAACCCCAAACAAAGAACTCGGTGGCCCTGAGGAGGCGTGACCAGTAGAAGTAGTCTCACGCTCTACAGTATGTGCCATAGATAACCCCTTAAATGGACCAGGCCTTAGCCTAGCATTCGCATTAGCAGGAGCTAGAATAAGGCGACCGTGTAGATTCCAGCATGTTTCCCTAGTGTGGCCCGTACACCCACAGTGATCACACCTCAACTTGCTTTTGTCATCCTGTTTCCCTCCTTTTAGAGGATTGGGCTTGTTCCATTGTTGTGTGGCAAGAGCATACCTTTCAGACAATGGTACTTCTGGCTTAGGGTTAATGTATACAGGTGCAGACATAGCCTTCATTCTACTCTCCTCGGCCTGGATATATGAAAACACATCTCTAACAGAATCAGGGGCTGGATACCTGCCTAACACCCCTGGCATGCTCGTATCTCAGATGCAGACCACCCAAGAACTCATAGATTCAATTCCTTTCTACCATAGCATGAAATGCCTTAACATCAGCTGCATACACAGATATGTAGTCTTGGTAGTGATCTAACTCTTCCCATTTACCATGTAGAGTGTAGAAATATGTAGCAAGAGTTTGGTCTTCTTGCTTGAATCTTGAAATCTGTTGTTGGAGTTCATACAGTTTTGTAAAATTACCAACTGAGGAATACGTCTCTTCCACAGCCGTCCATAGCTCTTTAGCTGTTTTCACAAACAGAAACCCTTTGCTGATATGTGGTTGCATCGACTGCAACAACCACGTTATAACTAGTGCATTATTTGCACTCCACTCTTTGAATTCAGGATCACTCTTGGAGGGATACGTGACAGTCCCTTCGATATGGTCGATCATCCTACGACCAGTGATATGCATACGAGCAGATTAAGCCCGCTCCATATAGTTCGTCTCATATAGCCTAACAATCGTAATACAAAGGCCTAGATGGTGATCACTACTACCTCCCAATACTCGAGTCAGACTAGGAGAAGACCCAGCTTCTTTTGAAGTCACCTCTGAGCAAAACATTTTATCAAACAGTTTTTGGGTATACAATCCTCATAAACAAAAACAACAACAAAATATGTAGAGAACCACCTCTCTAACACACAAACTTCACTTAAAAATATTACCGTCTTTTGAGAAGCATAAAAAAGCGACCACACAAATCCTAGAAAGCAACAAAGTAGGCTATACCAGAATCGCGAACGACGAAGAAAACGCCGCTGTTGCAAAACCCCGCGAACACAAAAAAACATCAATCGAGACTGCAAACAAATCCCATCTTGGAATCTCTTCAAAAACCCTTCACACCCACTAGGTTTTACACAAATTTGCCCTAAGGTTTCAACTACAAACCTAGAGCTTTACAAACCATGCTCTAATACGATGTTGACTTTAAGATACAATCAAATCAAAAGTAATAAAGAACAAGAAGAAAAAAAGAGAGAGAGATAGGGAAAGAGAGAAAGAATGAAAGAATACTTTCATCCTTCCACTACATTCTATTTATAGTAACAAGTTTCAGAAATTACACATAAGCCCCAACTTTATATAAGTAATAACAAATAAGCCCTTGACAACATATAGAAAAGACGACGACGAATATGGAGAGATTGTTGCCTTTACAATCTGCGCGCTTCATTGTTTCGGAGGAAAATAGTGGTGTTTTCCGGCAAAGTGACTGCAATCCTCAAAACTTTTCGACCGGCAACGACTTTGATCTCGATCGATTCCTAAGCCTCTGAAACCCTAACCTCTACGATTCTTCAAACACAAACGTCTCCAACAAGCTTGTCCCAAATGGTGTGGGTTTATTTTGTCCCAAATGGTCATTTTACTTCATTTTATTTTTTTAATATTATATATTGATATAAGGTCATTTTAGTCTTTTTGAATGGATAAATCCTTATTTGAACACTTTCATAACTTAGGGGATGTTTTTTACCACACGGGGATATATGCTCTATCTTGATATTATAGGGATAATTTTATTTTATTTTATTTTATTTTTTATTTTTTTATTTTTTTTTCATAGTTGGTACTCGCACACTCATGCCTCCATGGAGGCTTGAACGCTTGACCTCCTTTTGGGAAGTAAGGGCCTGATTTCGCTAGGCCATTGGCCCGTTGGTATCATAGGGGTATTTTTTGCACTTAACCTTTTTAAAAAAATAAAAAATAAAAAAACTTAACCCTTTTTAATATCATCTAGATTTTAGAATTCAATCTAATTGAGCATGCATTGATATAGTTTAATAATTACCGAAAGAATGGTTTCAAAGATTTTTCAGTAGCTATGTCTCGAGACCTTGTTCTGAAAGAATGCAATCCGCAGGGTGTTGCAAAGGTGGGCTGATCATGTCCTTCGAGCTGAGCATAATATCTGCAGGTATGACTTTCTTTTCTTGCACCTTTATTTCCAAGATTTTTATATTTTGCATTCTGACGCTAAGTATGGCTATGCAGGGCTCTGATTTTGTATGTCGCAGCTGGGGCATTGCAAGAGGCGTTGGCAGCACTTCGTGAGGCACAGCAACCAGATACAGCTGCCATGTTCATACTTGCTTGCCGTGAAATCCTTGCTGAAATCGTTTCTAGCTTAGATTTGGATGAGGAATTCAGGTGTTCAATCAAGGAAAAAGTGTTTCTTATGCCTGGGCTGAACCCGGACAATGAAGATGTTATTGCAGTTGGTGAATACTATGGGCAGTACCAGAGAAAATTAGTGCATTTGTGCATGGACTCACAGCCATTTTCTGACTGAACAACCTGGCCGGTACTCTCTAGCATGTCTGTTCTATTACTTGTGCTTCACTCTCTGGCAAAAGTTTTGGTACTCGAGGAAATTCCCACTTGCCCTGGATTCAGTTCCACATCTTTTGTGAATCAAATGCTACATCTGGAAAATATACACACGAAAAATTTGGGTGAGCAAAATGTTATATCTGGAAAATCTGAATCCCCTAGACGGCAGCAAAATTAACAAATTGGCTACTTCAGAGTTTGTTGCAGAAATTGTTGTTGATAGTATTGATTTGTGTTATAGCTCATGTAAGATTTTGTCTGCGGTACAATTGTAATTCCAAATTTTCACATTATTGCAAAAAGTTATCTTCTGGTAGGATGGGTGGTGATGCCATTTGTTCATTTTCTAAGGAAACATCTGTATCCTGACCTGATTGAAATAGTCATATATGTGAATAGCAACCTTCATTTTTGTGGGGGCATTTGCCTAGAGAATTACTAACAAATTAAGGATGTCAGAGTTGGCTGCTTTCAACATTTTGGAAGCCTTCAAAACCAAATAAAATTGATCAGTTTTCTTTTTTCTCCATGTTTTGAAATGAGATATGTTTATATGTTCTTAAATTTGCTGGATATGAAGGTTGTTTCAGAACCCATACTGTTATATTAGCTGGGTAATTTTTTAGCGCCTGATTTGCTGTCAAATGCCAACGAAACCGGGATACCATTCACTTCTAAGTGACTTCCAAGTCCTCCATCAGTAATACTGTAGTTTATTGGGATATACAGACTGTTGAGGAATTAAATTTGATAGTTTTAACGAGTTATCATCAGAGTTGTCGAAGTTAAGGACTGTGCCAATTCAAGTATGTTTGAAAATTTCTTTTTCTGTTGGACTTTCTCCCGCATAGCCTAGTAACACCTATATTTATAGCAAAACCTTCTTATAACATCTTTCTATGTAACTTCCGAAAGAACAAGAGAAAAAACATATTTTTGTGTATCAAGTCATTAAAGAAAAAGTTCAATCTATTCATCCAATTTAGGGTTCATTTGGATAAGTGAAGGAGTGAATGCGAGAGCGCGAAAGTGTAAAAGCAACAAAAATTTAAGTCATACCAAATAAAAATGGAAGCAACGGAACCAGGAGCAGGTGTGAGAGAGCATAAACGTTCTAGTGATACAAAATGAAAATGGAAGCAACCTTGCCAGAACCAATTTAAAGGAATTAATAAGTGACTTAGATGCTACCTTTTTAAAAGAAAAGTGCTACGATGAAAGCTCTCACTTGCGTTCATGCCCTCATCCTAGCACAAAGGGTCTTTGGTGCAATGGAAAAGGGAGGAAAGGAAAGGAAAGGAAAGGAAAGGCGATGGAGGGTGATTAAAAATTTGTGTTTGGCATAAATGGTTGGAAGGAAATGAATGGTTTTGGAAGAATATCACGAGGCTTAAATAGTAACTTTTTTATCCTCTTAAAAATGGGAGGAAATGAAAGGAAAGAGAAGGAGAGGCATGATATATTATTTCTGATGCCAAATTTACCTTTAACACAAAATCAAGATTACACTTGATTTTAGGACACGTAGTCAGCTGAACACGGAAACAAAAGCGCCAAATTTGTGGAAAACAAGGGCACCAAAATTCACTGCTATAAAAGCTCGCAAGAGTAAGAAGGGCCAATATATATTTATATACTTATAAAATACAGAGAGAGAAGAAGAAGAGAGAGTAGAGAGAGAACGTAGAGAGAAGAAGAGGCGGTGCTGCATAACAGTAGGAGAAGTAGAAGAAGAAATGGGTTGCAGAAACAGAGAGTTGTTGGAGGAAGATGGTGCGGTTTCAGTAGTATATAATTAATAAGTTTTTTTTGTTTTTCTTAGTCTCCTCATCTACCAAAAGAAGGATATGGATGGGTTTATTGAAGTCCTTTTCACTTTTTATTCCTTGATGCTAGTGTACCTCATCCAAATTAAGTGTGTTAATTGAGATTTACCACATTGATGTATGTTTGATTTAGGCACTGTATTGAAGAGAGCAAGGATGACTAACAAGGGTACTTGTGATGCAGTTGTGGCGAATGGTGGTCTATTGAAAAATTTAGGCATTTGTCACATAAATATTATGCAGTTCTCTAGTTCTTTTTTTTTGTTCATGTTTTATTTGTGACATTTAATTTAATTCATTTGTATTGAAATAGTAACATTTCTTTTGTCTATCTAGCATATAAGGTTTAACATGAATTCAAAGTAACAATAATGTTTTTATCAAATTGTTATTTATTTCTATATTACATAGTTAAATCTATAAATTTATCTTTTAAAATATAAAAGGATATAATAATAAATTTATTAAAATAGTTTCTTTTTCTTTCTTTTTCCAAGCATGATTATTATCATTTCCTTTCTTTTCCTTCATTAATTAATTTCCTTTCTTTTCCTTCATTAATTAACCAAATGCGATAGATGGTTAAAATTATTCTTCCCTTCCCTTCCCTTCCCTTTCCTTTCCCTCATAACTAATATTATCCTTTCCACACTTGTCCTTCGGAATTAGGATTATCACATGATGCTGTTGTAGTTTTGTGGAGTCTAATTAGGTGAAAGATTTTTAGGATGATTTAATTATATGGAAACTTCAAGATTGCTAAATTTTAGGGAAAATTCAGTTTCTTGGTCTGTTTATTTTAACTTCCTTATTAGTTTAGGGAAAATTCAGTTTCCTAATCTATTTTAACTTCCTTATTAGTTTTGGATTCTACAAAAGACAATTTATTGTAGGACAAATTATTTGTGTCTATATATATATCAACTATAATCAGATTTTAGGATGCGGTAAAAAAAAAAAAAAAAAAAAAAAAAAAAAAAGGATTATCATATGTGTTGTGTGATTGATTAATTTGTGCCAATACAAGAGAGAGAGATTGAGAGAAAATTCTCCATTGTAATTCTTCATTTTCTTCATAGTGAATTTGTTCAGTGTACTCTATGGACGTAGCCCTAAGATTTGGATGAACTATATATATCTTGTGTTATTGTGTGTGATTTTCTCTATTCTTCGTGATTGCTTGTTTTTTCTTTGAACAACATTATTTATTTTGCGTTTCAGCCACAACAACAGGTATCAAATCCGGTTGATTATGCAAAGCAACTCCAACAACTGGTATCAGAGCCTTTGGTTCATAACCTTAGGTGCAGAAGGTGTTTGATGAAATTCCAAAAGTCTTTCGATCAAATTTGTCCGTTCGAGTGGGAGTAATGGCATCAGAAGATAAGACATCCATATCCATGATCGAGAAGTTCGATGGCACAAACTTCAGTTTTCGGAATATGCAAATAGAAGACCTCTTGTTTCAGAAAAATCTGTATCAACCTTTGGGAGAGAAGCCAGAGGATACAAAGGATGCAGAATGGGAATTACTTGATAGAAAGGCTCTTGGCAACGTCAGATTGACGTTGTCAAAATCAGTGGCCTTTAATATCAAGAACGAGAAGACGACGAAGTCTCTTAGGCAGCCCTTTCTAGTATGTATGAATAGTTTTCTACAGTGAACAAGGTGCACTTGATTAAGAAGTTGTTCAACATGAAGATGGTCGAAGGTGGTAAGTTCAACGAACATCTAAATGCGTTCAACGAGTGTGATACCCCCAGATTTCCGGATGCGGGTTGGCCTGGCCCACACCCGAATACCCGAGAATATCAAAAACAAATCGGCAATAATCGAACACAGAATATAAATATGATCAATAAAAATAAATCAACTGCTGAAAAGAAACTAAAATGATAATCCAACAATTCCTCAAAATAAATTTTTATTTAATAAATTCTTTTGATACAAGTAATCCTCCAATTTATACAACTCGGGAATCCATACTATGTGGACCCCTGGAAAACCAAAACTGAACAATCAACAGTCTACAACTAGATACTGAAATCATAAAGGGAACTCCTATGTAGACAATCCGGTAGAATGAAATAGACGATCCCTGCTCAGCACGAACAATCCCTACTCCTGACGAATACATGAAAAAATAATAGTGGGTCAGGCCCATAAACAAATTCTACTCTACTGCAGTTCAAGTAGAGACCCAATATGCAGATACACCCTAAATAACTCAGCAATAGCTAAATAGTCCATAAATATATATATCCACACTAAGGGACTCTCACTGGACTACAAGGTGGTCTCAACCTGACTAGTAGGCAACATGCAAAACGCACCTGAAGTGGGCATGAGTACTAGACCTAACAGGGTACACCTCTACCATCATAGCCAGCTATGAATCCCAATGCATATACGCTCCCTAACCATCGATCCTGAGTCTCAAGCTCATATCGTGGTACCATAATTATATATCTAAAATCCATCCAAAACCAAAGTAGTGTCGCTCAACTGTTCGTTGCCTTGACACGACATATAAATAGGATTTAACCTTATAGTTAATCCATTCCCTTATTCCAGAGTAGGTAGGATTTAGTATTTTGAACTAATCCATCTCTAGTATGCCACCGTCCCATAGCGGTGCATATAATCCACAAAATTTAATAATTTATAAAATGGATAATATAAGTAGAATTTAACATTTTAGTAAATCCATTCCCTTATTCCAGAATATGTAGGATTTAACTTCTTTGGTTAATCCATCCCTAGAATGGCACCGTCCCATACCGATGCATTACATCCATTCAGTCCAATAATTGATAAAATAATTAACATAACACATCAATTAATTCCATAAACAAGCATAATAAAACCAGATATGCACATGATCATATTATGCATCCAATACAAAATTAAAATCAGACCATATTCATTTAAGTTGCTAAATTATCATTTAAGCAATTAAATCCTCCACATCCGTTAACAATATGAAAACTTGTTTAAAATTTCATATTGTTATAATCATTAGCGTATTATGCATCCAATACAAAATTAAAATCAGATCATAATCACAGTCATTAAATTGCTAACATAATGTTTAAGCAATTAAATTCTCCTCATCCGATAACAACATGTAAATTTGTTTAAAATTTCATATTGTCTAATCATTAGCATATAGCCTAAATTATGCATCATAGAGTTTTAATATATCGTGAAACAATATTTAAAACCCCCATTATTAACCCAAAACAGTTCTAGAACCCCAAAACATCCAAATAGTGCGTAAAATAACCTCCAGTATCATATCAAGAGAGCCTGCTCTCAAAAGTGTAGAGCAGGGTCCACCACAAAGGAAGCCGGCTCCCCTCACCATGGAGCCGGCTCTACTCATGAGGGAGCCGGCTCCCTGTAATACCCCTAATTTAAAAAGGATAGGTTTGGAATTTATTTTATTGTTTAAATTATATTTTTATTTATTTAATTATGAATTGGTTTGTTTTAATTGAAAATTTATTTAAATTTCATTATGAGTTTATTGGGTTTTATGTTTATACCTTGTTTTAGTTTAATTGTTTTCATGGTTGTATTTTGATTGCATTTAGTTATTTTTTTTAATTAGGATTAAATGCTTTATTTGATTTAATTTAACTGTTTAATTGATTTGATCTAATTTAATAAAGTGGTTTGATTAATTTAATTTAAGTGGTA